GTTTAGTTGTTGGGATGTAATCGACGAACTGGAGGGGTGGGGGGGGGGGGGGGGGGGGGGGGGGGGGGGGGGGGGTGAGGGGTTAAAAAAATTGTGCGTACCTCTACAAAAATCCTGGCTACGCCCCTAAAATGGGTAGAAAAACAACACTTTTGACCGTCAACAGGAGCCGATTACTTAATCGGCTCCTGCCGTCAAGAGACCCGCGAGCTCCATCTTTGGCATGTTATATCCAAGGTTCCGGTTTTCAGAATTTTTTTTTTTTCAAAACGAGTGACTTAAAGCGGCGTTTTTCTTCAGTAAAGCTTTTAAGACGAGACAAGGCTTCTTAGCAATCTCGCATCGTTTCTTCATTTTCATCAGTCAGGTCAAACAGCAAAAACGACTGCAACGTTGAATTAAGGAACGATTTTGTGACCTCTGAAAAATGATTTCGTTGACCGAACAAATCCGCGATGTATAAGAATGTCAGTTGTGAGCTTTAAATCCTACATAAGAACTACGGAAATGAAATCAAATGAAGAATGATCCTAGCAGTTATGAACGCAATTTATGCAATTGCGTAAGAAAGCTGGAATAACCCCCTTGAAGTCCTGAATTTTTTTCAGCCATCTTACGCAATTGCGTCTGAAATTGCGTTCACAACTGCGAGAATCATTCTTGATTTGATTTGATTTCTCTCATGATTTCTTATATGATTTATTTCATTTACATCTCACAATAGTTCATGTTAGGCCTAGGCCAAACGTCGAACTTTTCACTGATGAGACGAACGAAACTTAGTGAGTCACGTTCATGAAAAGTTCGACGTCTGGCTCAATTAAAGTCGTCTGGATGGGTTTGGATCAGGCGGATAGAACCTCTGAAGATCGCCTGCAGGACAAACGTCCATCTTCACATGCGACGAACTAAACAAATAAGCTTCGTCCGGCTAAAATTGCCTTTTGGTCTGATTCAGTGAATTGGTTCGACGCGTCCCAAGCTCGACGTCTGACCCAACAACAGGGCTTCCACACAATCTATTTGTGTAACCCGGCGATGTGCAGAAGAACCCCGGTAACTCAAACTCTGAAGGGAAACGAACAACAGCACGAGTTATCGGGGTAAATTTCAGTGAAATTTTGATCAAGGGAAAGGAAATTTAGTTAGAGTTAGTGGGGTATTCGAGTTATCGAGGTTCTAACTGTAACTTTTTTATCGAAGGTTAGCTCCGGGCGTTTTGGATGGATTTTCGATCAGAAAGGTACTAGAAGAAGCGTGAATCTTTCGAGCTTTCTGCTCATGGTTTTGATCCATGCACATATCTAGCGATAAACTCCTACAGATGCAGTAAATGGTAAATTCAGTACATTTACCATAAATACATCGGCTACATGAACAGATTGGGTGGAAGCCCTGTGACCCAAGAGACGATCAGGTCGATCCAAATTGGAGTTTCGTTCGTCTCATGAAAAGTTCCATGTTTGGCCTAAGACTTAGTCTTCTGGTTTCTTCCAGATATGACTGTCTTAACAGCTGGCTGATTCCCAAACGCAATAGTGATCGATTACAAAATCATTGTTTTGCTAATTTATCTAGTAGTTTCCTTTCCGTTTATCTTAAAGCTGTTTTTATACAAGTGGAACAAATCATTTTACGAAACACGTTTGGGTTTCCTTTTTGGTTGCTTTTTGTACGTTTATTTCAAGCGCTTCAAACCCTATCATCTACGTATTACGAAACAAAAGATACCGCGAAGCCATCAGGCAACTGGTAAAAGATCCTTTTGGGAGCAGCTCGTTTCAAGAGAAGCCAGTCAAAAATAACAGGAGAGAGAAGAGAAGTCCAGAGCACGTATCGAAGCTAAGCAAAGGCGAAGAACCAGGAGTATCCACCGCACATGAAGAAAGTCATAAGAGAGGCGTCGGAGATGGAAATTTTGCGACAGGTCAAATGGTCCTGGCAAACAAAATAGTAAAAATAGCTTGGAAGGAAAACGAAGAATGAAACCGCTCAGGAGATCAGGCCTAAAAAAGAAGAAGATCAGGACGGTAGAGGATGAATGCAGGGGCGTAGCTACCTGTAGACACGCTAGGCACGTGCGTACCTTAAAAAATCGAGGGTTAAATAAATGTCTGAGATAAAAATAGCCTTTTCACTTAATTTGTGAGTAAGTGACGATTGATGTGCGACAAAAAATTTTACAACTTATTCAAGATATTTAGTCAGTCCCTTAACATCACCTCAGATTTGGGACTTTAAAAGTGGAAGGGGAGCAGGGGGGTAAAAAAACTGTGCGTACCTCTGGAAATATCTTGGATACGCCCCTGGAATGGGTAGAGAAATAACACTTTTGACCGTCAAGAGACCCGTGAGCTCTATCTTTGGCATGTTATATATACCCACGGTTCCGTTTTTAAGAGAGTTTCTTGTTTCCAAACGAGTGACTCAAAGCAGCGTTTTTCTTCAGTAAAGCTTTTAAGACGAGACAAGGCTTCTTAGCAATCTCGCATCGTTTCTTTATTTTCATCAGTCAGGTCAAACAGCAAAAACGACAGCAACATTTAATTAAGGAACGATTTCGTGACCTCTGAAAAATGATTTCGTTGACCGAACAAATCCGCGATTTATTAGAATGTCAGTTGTGAGGTTCAAATCCTACATAAGAACTACGGAAATATGAAATCAAATGAAGAATGATTCTCGCAGTTCTGAACGCAATTTATGCAATTGCGTAAGAAAGCTGGAATAACTTCCTTGAAGTCCTGAATTTTTTTCAGCCATCTTACGCAACTGCGTCTGAAATTGCGTTCACAACTGCAAGAATCATTCTTGATTTGATTTCATTTCTGCAAGTCTTATATGATTTATTTCATTTACATCTCACAATAGTTCATGTTAGGCCTAGGCCAAACGTCGAACTTTNGAGACAAGGCTTCTTAGCAATCTCGCATCGTTTCTTTATTTTCATCAGTCAGGTCAAACAGCAAAAACGACAGCAACATTTAATTAAGGAACGATTTCGTGACCTCTGAAAAATGATTTCGTTGACCGAACAAATCCGCGATTTATTAGAATGTCAGTTGTGAGGTTCAAATCCTACATAAGAACTACGGAAATATGAAATCAAATGAAGAATGATTCTCGCAGTTCTGAACGCAATTTATGCAATTGCGTAAGAAAGCTGGAATAACTTCCTTGAAGTCCTGAATTTTTTTCAGCCATCTTACGCAACTGCGTCTGAAATTGCGTTCACAACTGCAAGAATCATTCTTGATTTGATTTCATTTCTGCAAGTCTTATATGATTTATTTCATTTACATCTCACAATAGTTCATGTTAGGCCTAGGCCAAACGTCGAACTTTTCATGAGACGAACCAAACTTAGTGAGTCACGTTCATGAAAAGTTCGACGTCAGGCTCGGTTAAGTTCGACTGGATGAGTTTGGTCAGACGGATAGAACCTCTATGAAACCTCTGAAGATCGCCTGCAGGACAAACGTCGATCTTTATCCATTTTCACCGTTGAAAGACTGGGGCTTTTGGAATTTTTTTCGAGGGCTCGCTCCGGGCTTTTTGGATGGATTTTCGATCGGAAAGGTACTAGAAGGAGCGTCAATCTTTCAACCTTTCTGCGCATGGTTTGAAAGCGCAGCGATGTGGTTTTTTGGTGGAAAATCTCTCGGAAGCTAGTGCCTTTCAAAAAATTGATTCCATCCTTGTCCTTCTATTAAGAGGGACAGTAAACAGCGAACTCAAAATCGCTCAAAATACCACTTCTGGGACAAAAGGACGACTATTTACCGTAGGTAAGGTAACAAAATGGGTATTTAATATTGATCCACGCACATATCTAGCGATAAACGCCTACAGATGAAGCAAATGGTAAATCCAGTACATTTACCATAAAATTACATCGCCTGCATGAACAGATTGTAAGGGGTTCCCTGTGACACAAGAGACGATCAGGTCGACCCAAATTGGAGTTTCGTTCGTCTCATGAAAAGTTCCATGTTTGGCCTAAGCCTTAGTCATCTGGTCGCTTTCAGACACGACTGTCTTAACAGCTGGCTG